TACTGGCTCAACCAGTGTTGCTGATAGCGGTCTACTGGCTCAACTAGTGTTGCTGACAGCGGTCTACTGGCTCAACCAGTGTTGCTGATAGTGGTCCACTGCCTCAACCAGTGTTGCTGATAGCGGTCCACTGGCTCAACCAGTGTTGCTGACAGCGGTCTACTGGCTCAACCAGTGTTGCTGATAGCGGTCCACTGGCTCAACCAAAGTGCTGCTGATAGCGGTCCACTGGCTCAACCAGTGTTGCTGATAGTGGTCCACTGGTTCAACCAGTGTTACTGACAGCGGTGCACTGGTTCAACCAGTGTGTTACTGACAGCGGTCCACTGGCTCAACCAGTGTTGCTGACAGTGGTCCATTGGTTCAACCAGTGTTACTGATAGCGGTCCATGGGCTCAACCAGCGTTGCTGATAGTGGTAAACTGGCTCAACCAGTGTTGCTGATAGTGGTCCACTGGTTCAACCAGTCTTACTGATAGTGGTCCACTGGTTCAACCAGTGTTACTGATAGCGGTCCACTGGTTCAACCAGTGTGTTACTGATAGCGGTCCACTGGCTCAACCACAGTGCTGCTGATAGCGATCCACTGGTTCAACCAGTGTTGCTGATAGCGGTCCACTGTTTCAACCAGTGTTGCTGATAGCGGTCCACTGGTTCAACCAGTGTTGCTGATAGCGGTCCACTGGCTCAACCAGTGTTGCTGATAGTGGTCCACTGGCTCAACCAGTGTTGCTGATAGTGGTCCACTGGCTCAACCAGTGCTGCTGATAGTGGTCCACTGGTTCAACCAGTGTTGCTGATAGCGGTCCACTGGTTCAACCAGTGTTGCTGATAGCGGTCCACTGGTTCAACCAGTGTTGCTGATAGCGGTCCACTGGCTCAACCAGTGTTGCTGATAGCGGTCCAATGGCTCAGCCAGTGTTGCTGATAGCGGTCCACTGGCTCAACCAGTGTTGCTGATAGCGGTCCACTGGCTCAACCAGAGTGTTGCTGATAGTGGTCCACTGCCTCAACCAGTGTTGCTGATAGCGGTCCAATGGCTCAACCAGTGTTGCTGATAGCGGTCCATTGGTTCAACCAGTGTTGCTGATAGCGGTCCACTGCTGATAGCGAGCCACCGGGGCGTTGATCATCAAAGCACCTCCAGGTATACTCCATGTATCTCCTCGTTACTCCCGAGAGTACATTTCAAGAACTTAGAGGTGCTCCCAGTGGTTCAGATGTTTTATTGGCCCTAAAACAATCGCAGTATCTACTCTGATACCTCTCCTGCCTTGAATGTTGCCACTGATACAGCACAACAGTGCTCCCCATCGCATTATTTCTCTTGTTTAAATGACAGATCATCCGACATTATTTTAATTAAATGTATTAAAAGTTCCTTCGTCCTATGAGCTGGTCCTCCTGTATTTTGTATCCAGTGTTCTTTTTTGAGTTTCTAATTATCTACATTGTTTCTTACTTCCATGACTCACGAAATCGTAATGACACGATTGCCAACAAGCCACGGTACGGGCGGGGATTGAACTCACGACAAGCTAGTCTTAAAACTAGGCCAGCGCGTCAGTCCCTGGGCTAGCTGGCTACAATAAGATTCATGCAACACTCACGAAATCGTAATGACACGATTGCAAACAAACCATACCACGGGTGGGATTTGATTCCACGGTCAGAGAGTTTCAAAACTCCAGACCGTCGCGTTAGCCACTGGACCAGCTTATTTTGGCTAATGGTCCAGTGGCAAACGCGACGGTCTGGAGTTTTGAAAGTCTCTGACCGTGGGATCAAACCCCACCCGTGGTATGGTTTGGTTAAGAGTCATGCAACTAGGTATATATAATATATATATATATATATATATATATATATATATATATATATATATATATATATATATATATAATATATATATATATATGGGCCACCACTGTGACCACAAATGCACAGTGTCTGCATCTGGCCCCCTTCCCTCACAGTGCAGTATTCCAGCCTGGATTTGAAGAATATCATCGTCCTATCATTTTCCTTGCGGTAACAATAGCAAAATTGTTGTGATCCTTGACTGTAAGATCTTCCAACATCATCACTTGTATGTCTCGTACCTAGAACTTTTGCTCTACTGAATTATTTGAGTTTGTCATGTGCTACATATCAGGTTTTATTTCCTCCATTTTTCCACAGCAGAACAAGTGAAACTTGCCATCAGTGAACATCATATTGTTGTCCGAGGCCAACTGCACCGCTTTGTTTACATCCTCTTGAACATTCACTGTCTTGGACGGCCGCTACTGTCATGGAGATTCTGGTGTCATCACAAATAATGTTACGGATTTATTTACCTGTCTATGTAGTAAATAACAATAAGAAACAGAAATGAGGCGAGTACTATGCTTTGAGAAACAATAAATTTTCACTGTGGCAGCCTCAGCCTTCACTCTGTTTACTACTACTCACTGGGTTCTATTTGCTAAGTAGTTAATTATCAATATTACTTATGCACACATACTGTGTGCTATCACACCATGGTCACACTTGTCGAAACACTTTTCCGAAATCAGTGTACATGACATCCGCATTTAGATTATTTTCCAGTACATCCAAAGACCATATAATGGTCTAGAAATTGTGAAAGATGGAGTCGACCTGCTCTAAACTCATACTGCCCTGGATTACTGCCCTACTCATACTGCCCTGGATTACTGCCCTACTCATACTGCCCTGGATTACTGCCCTACTCATACTGCCCTGGATTACTGCCCTACTCATACTGCCCTACTCATACTGCCCTGGATTACTGCCCTACTCATACTGCCCTGGATTACTGCCCTACTCATACTGCCCTACTCATACTGCCCTGGATTACTGCCCTACTCATACTGCCCTGGATTACTGCCCTACTCATACTGCCCTGGATTAGGCAAATGTTGTTGTTCTACGTGATTGGCAATCATGCTTCTGAGGACTCATTCAGAGACTGTGATGTGTGAAGGTAGTGTTATTGGTCTACAGTTGCTCATAAATACTTTACGCCACCTTTTTGAAGAGGGGCGATATCAGTGGTTTGCAATGACTATGGGATGACTCCTGTGTCCAAACTTCTTTTCCACAGAATGCTAAAGGGTCAAGAGAGTGATTTCTTGCAATTTTTTTATGAATATGGAATCCCGCGAGAAGTGGGCTGTTTTTTGGCGTCTCATTCATAAAAACAAGAAAACTTAAGTGATTTCGATCCGTAGACTGAGGGTTGGTTCGGAAAACACAGAGCCTGACTTCACTATTTCACTCATATACCTTTGAAGTGTTTCGAGAGTTTCACTACTCTCGGAGCCCGGCCATGAGCCAGGCTCGTCTGGTGCTTGCCTGGTTAACCCGGCTGGTTCTGCTGGTGGCCCGCTGCCCCCTATATCCATCACAGCCTGGTTAATCTGGCACCTAGTGCAATCAGTGTACCTTCCATCTCCCGTAAACAAAGACCCAATACTAGATGAGGTTCTTTCCCTGTATTTTGCTAAAGAAGCAATTGGGATTTTTTTCTAATTTCATTTTCCCTGTGTTTGACCTGGACTCTGGTGTGAGGTAACCAGTTTGTGCTCCATATTCTCATATTCTCTAGCTACAGTTTCCTTTCTTGCAACACAGAGTCGGCTGATGTGGGATCTGACATCTGTCATCTTTGTTTGTCGAGGGAGTGCCCCCCCCTCTCTCTCTCTCTCTCTCTCTCTCTCTCTCTCTCTCTCTCTCTCTCTCTCTCTCTCTCTCTCTCTCTCGTTTGCATCTTCTCTGTATAAATGTATATGTTTGGTTCATACTTGAAGCACCAGTGAAACTGGTTTAGATCGACGGTTGTCATGTTGTCTTCCCAGTGTATATCGATAAGGTCATGATTTATTTGGCTCCAGTTGATGTTCTTGATGACAGTGAATTTACTAATATCGCACTCAGAATTTTTCTGCCTCGGGCTACTGTGCACGCAGGTCTGAACCTCAATTATGTTGTGGTCTGCGACACCGTCGTGTCCCGGACTAGGTCCTCACTTCATAAATAAAAGTTCAAGGGTGTTTCCTGGTTTGCTCAGATCGGCGATCATTTGGCTTAAGGTGAATTTATTGCAGAGGTTAAATAATTCTGTCATCTGAGACTGCTCCTCCAAATTAGCTACGGGTACCCTCTGCAATTACAGTCCTTGCTACAGTTTTACATATGAGGTGCATCAAACTGAAATTACCAAGTGGCAACTATAATAGGGTTTCCCATTCTGGATGTCACAGCTTCGACTACATCATTAGTATTGTTCAATAACTCAGTGATAGATAAGTGACTCCCTAACATGTAGGTCGACCCATCGACCTTTTTTGGCCGCTTTTCTACTCGCATCTAATTAGCTTGTATCAAGGAATACATATTTCTTTATCAAAATATTTTTCAGAGTCTGTGTTCAAGTTAGAAAGAGTGACTGTGACTCGGGGAGAAGACCGCTGGTGCACCCTGGCCTACTGTTCAGTCTTCCTCTGAAAATTTTTAATTTTGCAAACACAAAACCTGATACAGTGCTTGTTATACTGGAGTTTATTGCCTGTGATATACCTGCGACAGATGTCAAGAGTTTCTCTCTCCTCGCAGCTAAGTCTGACGCCAGGGTTTTCTATTGAATGCTGCATACTCAACACGACAGCTGGTATCAGCAGAAGCCCGCTGACCCATCACAGTTTGGTTGATCTGGCACCTGGTAGAAACAGTGGTCCAGTTTCCAGCTGAAAACTTGTATAGTTACTGGGGCCACATTTGTAATATCGTATGGCAGCAGGTTGAACAGTCTTGGACCACACATGTTGACACAATGTTCTCTTACCATGGCTCTGGTGCCTCTGTGTGTCATTGGGTTTATTTTACACTTCCTCCCATATCTCTCACTTCAGTACACTCTTATTTATTTATATAAATTATCGAAGCTAGTTATCTCCCTCCCTCCCTCCCTCCCTCCCTCCCTCACTGGTACTCACCTTCAGCTTCCTAGACATCCAAGTTCGCAAGAGTCTGAAAAAAGACAAAAAAAAAAAAACAGTTTAGCAGATGTCAGTCAAAAATAATTATATATACTGAGAGCTATGATAATTATACCACTTGGCCAGTGAGGGGGAGACCACTTGGCCAGTGAGGGGAGACCACTTGGCCAGTGAGGGGGAGACCACTTGGCCAGTGAGGGGGAGACCACTTGGCCAGTGAGGGGAGACCACTTGGCCAGTGAGGAGAGACCACTTGCTGGGGAGACCACTGTGAGGGGGAGACCACTTGGCCAGTGAGGGGGAGACCACTTGGCCAGTGAAGGGAGACCACTTGGCCAGTGAGGGGAGACCACTTGGCCAGTGAGGGGAGACCACTTGGCCAGTGAGGGGGAGACCACTTGGCCAGTGAGGGGGAGACCACTTGGCCAGTGAAGGGGAGACCACTTGGCCAGTGAGGGGGAGACCACTTGGCCAGTGAGGGGGAGACCACTTGGCCAGTGAGGGGGAGACCACTTGGCCAGTGAGGGGGAGACCAACTTGGCCAGTGAGGGGGAGACCACTTGGCCAGTGAGGGGGAGACCACTTGGCCAGTGAGGGGGAGACCACTTGGCCAGTGAGGGGGAGACCACTTGGCCAGTGAGGGGAGACCACTTGGCCAGTGAGGGGGAGACCACTTGGCCAGTGAGGGGAGACCACTTGGCCAGTGAGGGGGAGACCACTTGGCCAGTGAGGGGAGACCACTTGGCCAGTGAGGGGGAGACCACTTAGGCCAGTGAGGGGAGACCACTTGGCCAGTGAGGGGGAGACCACTTGGCCAGTGAGGGGAGACCACTTGGCCAGTGAAGGGAGACCACTTGGCCAGTGAAGGGAGACCACTTGGCCAGTGAGAGGGAGACCACTTGGCCAGTGAGGGGGAGACCACTTGGCCAGTGAGGGAGACCACTTGGCCAGTGAAGGGAGACCACTTGGCCAGTGAGGGGAGACCACTTGGCCAGTGAGGGGAGACCACTTGGCCAGTGAGGGAGACCACTTGGCCAGTGAGGGGGAGACCACTTGGCCAGTGAGGGGGAGACCACTTGGCCAGTGAGGGGAGACCACTTGGCCAGTGAGGGGGAGACCACTTGGCCAGTGAGGGGGAGACCACTTGGCCAGTGAAGGGAGACCACTTGGCCAGTGAAGGGAGACCACTCATGGACCACTTGAGGGGGAGACCACTTGGCCAGTGAAGGGAGACCACTTGGCCAGTGAGAGGGAGACCACTTGGCCAGTGAGGGGGAGACCACTTGGCCAGTGAGGGGGAGACCACTTGACCAGTGAAGGGAGACCACTTGGCCAGTGAAGGGAGACCACTTGGCCAGTGAGGGGGAGACCACTTGGCCAGTGAAGGGAGACCACTTGGCCAGTGAAGGGAGACCACTTGGCCAGTGAGGGGGAGACCACTTGGCCAGTGAGGGGGAGACCACTTGGCCAGTGAGGGGGAGACCACTTGGCCAGTGAGGGGGAGACCACTTGGCCATTGAAGGGGAGACCACTTGGCCAGTGACAGGGAGACCACTTGGCAAGTGAAGGGAGACCACTTGGCCAGTGAGAGGGAGACCACTTGGCCAGTGAGGGGGAGACCACTTGGCCAGTGACAGGAGACCACTTGGCCAGTGAGGGGAGACCACTTGGCCAGTGAGGGGAGACCAATTGGCCAGTGAGGGGGAGACCACTTAGCCAGTGAGGGGGAGACCACTTGGCCAGTGAGGGGGAGACCACTTGGCCAGTGAGGGGAGACCACTTGGCCAGTGAGGGGAGACCACTTGGCCAGTGAGGGGAGACCACTTGGCCAGTGAGGGGAGACCACTTGGCCAGTGAGGGGGAGACCACTTGGCCAGTGAGGGGGAGAACCACTTGGCCAGTGAGGGGGAGACCACTTGCCAGTGAAGGGGAGACCACTTGGCCAGTGAGGGAGACCACTTGGCCAGTGAGAGGGAGACCACTTGGCCAGTGAGGGGGAGACCACTTGGCCAGTGAGGGGGAGACCACTTGGCCAGTGAAGGGAGACCACTTGGCCAGTGAAGGGAGACCACTTGGCCAGTGAGAGGGAGACCACTTGGCCAGTGAGGGGGAGACCACTTGGCCAGTGAGGGGAGACCACTTGGCCAGTGAGGGGGAGACCACTTGGCCAGTGAGGGAGACCACTTGGCCATTGAAGGGGAGACCACTTGGCCAGTGAGGGGGAGACCACTTGGCCAGTGAGGGAGACCACCTTGGCCAGTGAAGGGAGACCACTTGGCCAGTGAGGGGGGAGACCACTTGGCCAGTGAGGGGGAGACCACTTGGCCAGTGACAGGGGAGACCACTTGGCCAGTGAGGGGAGACCACTTGGCCAGTGAGGGAGCCACTTGGCCAGTGAGGGAGACCACTTGGCCAGTGAGGGGGAGACCACTTGGCCAGTGAAGGGAGACCACTTGGCCAGTGAGGGGAGAACCACTTGGCCAGTGAGGGGGAGACCACTTGGCCAGTGAGGGGGAGACCACTTGGCCATTGAAGGGGAGACCACTTGGCCAGTGAGGGGGAGACCACTTGGCCAGTGAAGGGAGACCACTTGGCCAGTGAGGGGAGACCACTTGGCCAGTGAAGGGAGGCCACTTGGCCAGTGAGGGGGAGACCACTTGGCCAGTGAGAGGGAGACCACTTGGCCAGTGAGGGGGAGACCACTTGGCCAGTGAAGGGGAGACCACTTGGCCAGTGAGGGGGAGACCACTTGGCCAGTGAGGGGGAGACCACTTGGCCAGTGAGAGGGGAGACCACTTGGCCAGTGAGGGGGAGACCACTTGGCCAGTGAAGGGAGACCACTTGGCCAGTGAGGGGAGACCACTTGGCCAGTGAGGGGGAGACCACTTGGCCATTGAAGGGGAGACCACTTGGCCAGTGAGGGGGAGACCACTTGGCCAGTGACAGGGAGACCACTTGGCCAGTGAGGGAGAGATCACTTGGCCAGTGAAGGGAGGCCACTTGGCCAGTGAGGGGGAGACCACTTGGCCAGTGAGGGGGAGACCACTTGGCCAGTGAAGGGAGACCACTTGGCCAGTGAGGGGGAGACCACTTGGCCAGTGAGGGGGAGACCACTTGGCCATTGAATGGGAGACCACTTGGCCAGTGAGGGGGAGACCACTTGGCCAGTGACAGGGAGACCACCTGGCCAGTGAAGGGAGACCACTTGGCCAGTGAGGGGAGACCACTTGGCCAGTGAGGGGGAGACCACTTGGCCAGTGACAGGGAGACCACTTGGCCAGTGAGGGAGAGATCACTTGGCCAGTGAAGGGAGGCCACTTGGCCAGTGAGGGGGAGACCACTTGGCCAGTGAGGGGAGACCACTTGGCCAGTGAGGGGGAGACCACTTGGCCAGTGAAGGGGAGACCACTTGGCCAGAGAGGGGAGACCACTTGGCCAGTGAGGGAGAGACCACTTGACTAGTGAGGGGGAGACCATTTGCCCAGTGACAGGGAGACCACGTGACCAGTGATGGGGAGACCACTTGGCCAGTGAGGGGGAGACCACTTGAGCAGTGAGGGGGAGACCACTTAACCAGTGAGGGGAAGACCACCTGACCAGTGAGGGGAAGACCACTTGGCCAGTGAGGGGGAGACCACTTGACTAGTGAGGGGGAGACCATTTGACCAGTGACAGGGAGACCACGTGACCAGTGATGGGGAGACCACTTGGCCAGTGAGTGGGAGACGACTTGATCAGTGAGGGGAGACCATTGACCAGTGACGGGGAGACCACCTGACCAGTGAGGGGGAGACCACCTGACCAGTGAGGGAAAAACTATTTGACCAGTGATGGGAATGCCACTTGAGCAGTGAGGGGAGAGACCACTTGAGCAGTGAGGGGAGAGACCACTTGAGCAGTGAGGGGAGAGACCACTTGAGCAGTGAGGGGAGAGACCACTTGAGCAGTGAGGGAGACACCACTTAGGTGGATAGTGTTGGTGGGGAGGGTAGTGGAGGGGGGGAAGGAAATCTGAGGGAGTGCGTGGAGGGAGATTAATGGAGGGAGGGAGGGAGGAATTGTGGAGGGGAGGGGAAGCGAGGGGAGGGGAGGGGAGGGGAGGTGGAGGCAAGGAATCAATACATCTTGTGTTCCTCTTACAAGCCAGTCTCCACTCCCACACCCTGTATGGTGAGTCCCACACCCTGTATGGTGAGTCCCACACCCTGCATGGTGAGTCCCACACCCTGTATGGTGAGTCCCACACCCTGTATGGTGAGTCCCACACCCTGTATGGTGAGTCCCACACCCTGCATGGTGAGTCCCACACCCTGTATGGTGAGTCCCACACCCTGTATGGTGAGTCCCACACCCTGTATGGTGAGTCCCACACCCTGTACGGTGAGTCCCACACCCTGTATGGTGAGTCCCACACCCTGTATGGTGAGTCCCACACCCTGTATGGTGAGTCCCACACCCTGTATGGTGAGTCCCACACCCTGTACGGTGAGTCCCACACCCTGTATGGTGAGTCCCACACCTTGTATGGTCCCACACCCTGTATGGTGAGTCCCACACCTTGTATGGTCCCACACCCTGTATGGTGAGTCCCACACCCTGTACGGTGAGTCCCACACCCTGTATGGTGAGTCCCACACCCTGTATGGTGGGTCCCACACCCTGTATAGTGAGTCCCACACCCTGTATGGTGAGTCCCACACCCTGTATGGTGGGTCCCACACCCTGTATGGTTGGTCCTACACCCTGTATGGAGAGTCCCACACCTTCTATGAGTCCCACACCCTGTATGGTGAGTCCCACACCTTGTATGGTCCCACACCCTGTATAGTGAGTCCCACACCCTGTATGGTGAGTCCCACACCCTGTATTGTGGGCCCCACACCTTGTATGGTGGGTCCCACACACACTGTATATCAGGTGTAACACACACTGTATACCAAGTGCCACAGGCACTGTATAACAAGTGCCACACACTGTATATCAGGTTTCACACATACTGTATAGCAAGTACCACACACACTGTATGACGGG